TCTGAAACCATGAAGAGCCCTTATACACAGCCCTTACAACCTGGAGTCTCGGTATGTTGGGCCTTCAACGGAAGCCGAACAGGGATGCGCGACACAAAACCTACATACTTCAAACCCTAAACCCAAGGATGCATGGCTGCAGGCCCCGAGCAGCCGTAAGCCTTATACCCGCCCTAAACCCTAAAACTTAAACCCCTAAACCCCAAAGCCCCTTTATAGGATGCCTTTTCAAGGAACCCTTATGAGTCCCACCTAAAACACCGAAAGCCGTTCATACCGACAAGCCGAGTCCCGGACCGAGGCCGTGCGATCTACCCGGCGGAGGACCACCCAGAGAGCAGAGAGCCACAGATGCACGAAATGGCCAGGGTTTAGGGTTTGGGGTTTAGGGTTTTGATTAGGTTTAGGGGTTTAGGGGTTTAGGGTTTAGGGGTGGGGATGTAGGGGTTAGGGGTTTTGGGTTTAGGGGTTTAAGGGTTTTGGGGTTTAGGGGTTTAGGGGTGTTTGGGAGCCTCTGTCCTTTTTTGTCTTTTCCCGCAGAGGGTCTAGAGAGCCTCTTTTGAGGGCTGAAGGTTTCGGGTACAGGATTTCAAGACTCTCGGGATGGATGTGAGGTTAGAGTCAAAGACGATGGCCGGGTTAAGGAGTTTAGGGTGTCCGAGGCTTAGGGTTTCTGGTTTAAGGTTTAGGGTTTAGGGTCGGGTGGAGGGTTTAGGGTTTAGGGTTTAGGGTTTAGGGTTTAGGGTTTAGGGAGGGTGAAGGGTTCGGGATGTAGCGACTGGGGATTCCGGGCATCAGGATTCGCAAGCCATGCTGTGCTCAGCTACGTGCTGACCTGCTGTGACATAAGGCTAGTTGCAGTGACCTCCAGAAACTTGGAGAATGGACGAAGGATGATCAGCCACAAGACGCTCTTCATAGTTAAGACTGTATGCACCACTGTGTGCACATGCTCACTGGCAAGACCCGGAAATAGCAGCCGTTGCGTACTAGCTCTGGATGTCCTGACACTTGGGCCCAAAGCCCTGAACCGGCAACCCTCCCCGCCTTTCTTCCACATGCAGGCTTCCGTCTTCCGAAAACAAATCTGCTTTGCATGCTGCCGACATGAGCCTGAGCCCGAACGACATGTTTCTTGTCTAGAGGGTATAGGGTGCTACTGTTGAAGGTTCCAGCGTTATGCAGGGTTAAGGCGCGCTGCTCAATACCAACGTGGCATGTATACGGTCTACAGTACATCCCTCTACTTCTGTAGACCTACCTAAGGCCGGCACCGTGTAAGACCCTAACTGGGTTTTTAAAAGCCCTGACAACTTAGGGCACAAAGCGTGTCAGTATGTCTTGTATCCTTATGCCTGACACATCCCAACGACTTCTTGAGCCCATAAGAACATATGAAGCTCTTTCAAACCTCAAAGAGAAACACTACTGGCACCTCGTAGCATGTGGCATATTCCCAGAGAGCTGTCGCAACAGACTTTGGTGAAGTCCAAAGCAACCCAGACCATCCTTGAAGTAGCGCGCCAGCCAGAATCCTGAAAACTAGAGTCTGCGTCCTATTTCCTCAAGGGTGCCTACAGGGTTTAGGGTGTAGGAGGCTTCCCAGAGAGCCCTTAAGCAATACCTAGGATTAGGGGTCCTTTAAGGGATCCTATAAGGGATCTATAGGGTTTAGGGGTTTAGGGTTTAGGGCCTAGGGTGTTGGGCACGAGGCACCGGATTTCTTCTGGGACACTGTGCGGACTAAGCGGGCGCTCCGCGAGCTCTCTGCTGTTGCCTTCGGCAACTGCCCAGCTGAAAATCAATCTGAGGCTTCCATACCTAAAGGGTCTAACGGCTGATGATAAAAATCCTGCATTACCTATCATAAGGAAAAGACCATACTTCCCATAGTTTAGGGTCCTTAAGGTAATGCAGGATTTATACCATCAACAGAAGTACCTAATAGTCTTCTACTTTCCAGAATACTGGTTCTGTAAGGGGTACTACAAGGGTTATGTAGAGTGGGCGGTAATGAGTCAGGGGTTCTATGGGATGCTAGTCATTTTTGGGCTTGTGGTTAGAGCTTTAGGGTCTCGGGTTTTAGGGTTCAGCGTGGGGTTTTGGGAACAAGGGTTTAGGGAGTAGGTTTACATCTGATTTAGGATTGGGGATTCGGGGCAAAGTGGAGTGGGATTTCGAATCTTGGGTTGGTGACACAGGGCGTAGGGTTCCCCAATCCCTTCTGACCATCGTCTCAAAACGGAACTCTCTAGCAACACTACCGCTGATGGACAAAATCCTGCATTACCCACTATAAGGAATATACCATAGTTCCCATAGCTTAGCGTCCTTAGGGTCATGCAGGATTTTGTCCATCAACAGCACTTTTCTGTGGGTCTGGGGGCCCTAAACCCTAAACCCTAAACCGAAGAACTAGGGTTGGGGCTGAGGGTTGCCTGGGACTCGGCTGATTCAGGGCGTAGGATGCCGCTGTCAAGGCCATGCTGAGGGTATACTTGGAGGTTCATGGGTAGTTATAAGTAGGGTTATAAGTAGGATAACTATAGTTATAACCCAGATTCGGGGACTTATAACCCTACTTACTAAGTCCCCTGATCCTTCAAGTAGAGTTTGCGGCTTAGGCTTGAAGGTTTATCTGGGGCTGCGGAGTATGCTTTCGGCTTTCGGGTATCCCCAAACTCGCCGAAGCATCCAGGCCTGTTGTGGGTTGACAACACCGATCTGTGAGTATAAGAGAATACGGCACACTTGTGTTCTTATTGGTGTCCGTGGCTGGTCCGGCATGCAAGCTAAAAGTAAGCTGGTATCAGCTGGGCGATGCACGATCACTCGTGGTCGAAGCCGAACCACCAAAGCCTCGTCAGCACGGGTCGAGACGCTCCAAAAGGTCGGAGTTTGAGTAAGAGGTTTAGGGCTTTGGGGGTTTAGGGGTTTTTGGGATGATAGAAAACGGGCCGGAATAGTGGGATTAGAGTTTCGCTCGGAAGCATGTATGGTGTGGTTGTGGCTCCTGCCAGCGTACACTGGAGCGATTTTGTGAGATCCCAGGTCCCTACAACCTCCAGAACCCTAAACTCTCCAAGCCAAAACTGTACAATCCCTGGAGAAAACAACAAAAACAGAAACCCTAAACCCAAAACTGGCGGCCGATTCACACAGATCCGAGGCCGCCGAAGAAGATGATGATGAAGACGGTGCGCGACACAGCTGTGAACCTTTTGGGTATCCAGGTTTAAGCGGTCGACGGTCGACACATCTGCTAGAGTCCGGGGTTTGAGGCTGAGGGTTTCGGGCTTTGTAGGCTCGTAAGGTTCAGCAGGTCGCCATGCGCGAACTCTCCTGCGATTCGCAAGGAACTCTCTGAGCGGAATTCCGTCTTCTTGCTGAGGTCTGCCGTAAACCCTAAACCCTGAACCCTTGCCGTTGGCCTGGCAAGTACAGAATCCTGAGAGTCGCACTCATCTTCGACCCAGTTCTTGTCCCAGTTCTGGCCACGAAGAGATGGGTTCAGGAGTCTAGTTAAATTACCATAACGAACAGCGATCTATAGTAAAAAAATTGTCGTTTCCGTTATTATGGTGGCTAGAGTGAAGTCCCTTGGAGAACAACCCCGGGAGGAGCATGAGGATGCTTCGAATTGCAAAGAGAACGCGAGAACTGCAAACAGATTGAGAGGGATGGATAGCCTGTTTCGGATTCGTTTTCAAAACGAACACCGCTAGCTGCTAGCTAAGAAGGCCTGTTCAGAGTTACAGATAGACAGAGATGCTTGGAAACAGACAGAGCCCAGTCAGTCGAACTCCTACAATTCCGCCTCCGCCTCGTCTTGCTACTGCTATGTACTGCTTCTAGTGCTGCCGCTGCTGCAGAATCTGCCTCCGTGTTAGAATGCATCGGCAGCATGCATGAAGCTTTCATGCTCCGATTGGTTGGACAGATGTACATATGCCCGTCAGGAGATTGTTATGAGTGGTCGTACCTTGTTCGTCGCAGTACCCTGACCAACACCACCAACAACACAAGGCAACCATCACCACAACCTGTCACCCTCAACATTAACACCAACACCATAACTCTTTCGATGCAATGACGGCTGATGTTTGCATTCTGGTGTCAGCTTCTGCATCAGCAGGGTGATGTGGATGACGACCGTGGACATAATTTCGATGATGTCACGGTTCATCACAGTGCTTATTGACAGCACTGGTGGTATGACGGATCCTCGGAAACGAAAAGGAATTGCAACGATAAGCGCAGCACTGTAACATTGTCACTGACAGAATGTGTAACATGAAAAGGGGCTATGACGATGATGATGATGATGATGATGGTGATGCTGCTGTTGCTGTTGCTGCTGCTGCTGCTGCTGCTGCTGCTGCTGCTGCTGCTGCTGCTGCTGCTGCTGCTGCTGCTGCTGCTGCTGCTGCTGCTGCTGCTGCTGGCGGCTTTAGTGGTGGTTCTGTATGTGGTGGTTGCGGTGTCGATCGTGATGGCCATTGCCATAACCTGCAAACCGCACTCAGAAGAGAACCATTGAACTCCTTGACACCCAGATCGAATCCAGATCCAAATGCTCCATTCGCACTAGTCTCCTGTTTCTCCGGCATCAAGGGCACCGGGCACGGTGGGTGAGCTTGCTTCGGGTCGACCGAGGCATCAAAGTCGCACCCTGAAGGTGCATGTCGTGATACACAACATTCCCTAGATGATAACAGAGCTGCAGAAGTTCTGACACCACAAACGACCACCAAACGGAAGAAGTCTCGTCTCTGACTTCTCAGGTCATAAGTCGAAAGCTCTGCCTCGCGCTGATGGCTTGCTTTTCCACTTCATCGTCTGATAGCTGATAGCAGCGAGAAGCGATTAGAGTTGAGCGTAGACATACAAAGGCTTCCATGCTGGAGGACGAGCCCTATAAGCCTTGAATACGGCTCTAATAAAGCTTTAATATGGCTTTAATAAGGGCTTAATAAGGCTTTAATAAGCCTCTCATATTCTCATGAAGAGCAGAAAATCCTTCGCCTCTTGGCCTCTTGCTCCCCACTGGCGGCATGTGCAGGCTCGCCCAAGAGCTTCCGAACAGCTGCCGGGAGACTGCCTTTCTGGACCATCGCCTGGACTTGTTCGTCTTGGGAGCCGAAGTGCGCACATGCTCTCTCTAGCGTCTCCAGCCCTTTAAGCGACGCAGCCTCTGCAATAGCCACAAAGTTGTTGGCATCGATCATTTCACGCAGTGCTTTGCACAGGGTCTGCACGACGCTATGGACTTGCCAGCGGTGGGCCAAGTCCAAAGCCTCAAGCATGGTCTTGTGGTCGGGGTCTTCACGAGTGGAGCTAGTGTACAGCAGATCCAGGAACAGCGAGACGCCCGAGGATGAGGAATCCTTAACTTGAATGCACCAGCTGGAGCCCTCCTTCATTGCAGACGTGAGCATGGCCTTCAAGACGGGCGACGCTAACATCAAGATCTGGTCGTGTGCCGACACCTTTTTGTCTGAGCACTCGAACATCACGTTGTGTGCGGCTGTCAATTCGCGCATGGACTCCCACAAGTCCAAAGTGCTCCGAGGCACAGTAACATCTGCACCCTGAGAATGCTTGGCAGCATGTGAGCGCGAAAGAAGTGAAAGGAGTGCTTTCAGATGTGCCTCCTCGCGTGACCAATCCGCGTTGCCATACCGCTTCTGCATTTGCTGAAGATATGCGAAAGCAAGCGAAACAGCGGAATGCCCGGCATAGTCCACAACGAACTTCGTGGCCTCCTCGTTTGTCGACGTGGAAAGGTAGCTTCGCAAACGGTGATCGACCGGAAGCTTCTGTCGAGGATCAGCTCCAGCCTTGAGGAGCCATTCCACCATCTTGAGGCTTTGCTTTTGCACATCTTCTCTGCCAACCAGGCTGAAATGAATTACGCACATGAGTGCGGGCACTTTCTGATCACCCAGGGACTGAGTCCAGTCAAACTTGGCGGGTGCGAACGCCTGCAAGCCTTCCAGATCACCCAGCTCGATGAACCCATGAACCACATCGGCATCGATCGTCGCTGCCATGGGCTCGCCACAAGCAAGAGCCCCCTATCCCCTGGGCTCCCCTGAAGCGGCGAAGTGCCACGAAACTCCGAAAGGCTTATCTATTATTCTTGAACTGCTATTGTAGTTTTTGGTTATTATCTATTAATTATTGAGTATAAGTTTTCAATTATTAATTAGTGACTGTTATTATTTGTCATTCTTTACCATGATTATTGAGCCGTCTTGGCATCAGTGCAGGCAGGAAGTTGGCACAATGTCTCTCCTGTGCCCCAGGCCCCGATTCGCGGGCCTAGGTTTTAGGGTTTATAAGTTTAGGGGTTTGGGGTTTTCTACGGGGTTTAGGGTTGTTTAGGGGTTTAAGGGTTTAGGGTTTAGGAGTTTAGGGTGTTAGAGGGGTGGTTTGTGAGCTGAGCATTGTGGGCTGTCAGTCGTCACCGAAAGAACATGCTCGAATGCTTCTGGTTCCGGCTATCCACAAACGGATTCGGAAAGGACCGCCGGGATAACAGCCAGAAATTCGGGGCCCTAAACCCTGAACCCTATATCAACATGAAAGCTTCTTCACTGCAGCAGCCAGAAGCCAAAGGGCTCCGAAACACCCTGTTAAACAACCCCCCATTGGGGCTTCCGAAAATACTGGGCCCTGATATGGTACCCTACATGGTAGGATTCTTCTACTAGGGACCCCAAACTAAGGTAGCCCCTAATTTTCGGAAACGCTAAACCCTTATAGAGCCCTTTAAAGGAACCCTTATAGTACCCTTTATAGTAGCCCTTTTTTACAGGCACCCCCGACTTTCGGAAACTCTAAACCCTTGTAGGGCCCTTTAAAGGAATACCCTTTATGGTATCCCTTTTTTTTCGGCACCCCTCATTTTCGGAAACTCACCCCCAGAATGGCAGGAGCTCCCAAGGCTCTCCGGGGCCTCGTTCGTGACATCAACGCTGTTCTTCTTCACCTCCAAGTCCTGCTCCGAGATGCGAGACTTAGGGTTTAGGGTTCAGGACTTAGGGTTTAGGGTTTAGGATTTAGGGTTTAGTGAGCAGAAACGACGACGAAGACGACGGTACACAGCCACTGCGACTCGACTGCAACTGCTACTACGCTACTACTATGATGTTGGGTTTTCTTCCTCCACACCTGCTGCTTCTACTCTACCTCTGCCTCCACCTCCCCTACTTGCTACCTCTACCCCCACTACTGGTGCTACCATGGCTGCTATTACTAAATTACTGTCACCAGCATTGTCATTATTGAACAATCAACCGCACACCCGGAAGCAAATCTTTGAGCCCCAAACTTCCAACCTGCAATCCTTAATCGGTACAGCAACCCGTGAGCTCTCAAAACACATCCCTAAAACCCTAAACCCTAAATCCTAAACCCTAAAACCCTGAACCCTAAACCCTAAACCTGAACCCAAAACTCAGTCTCGGAAACTTCGAGCCTGCTGCATTTGGGAGTTTCCGGAAATTAGGGGGTACCTTAGGTTGGGGTCCTTATAATAAGGATCCTACTGAGTGTTTAGGGTACTATATTAGGGTCCCCTATTTTCGGAAACTCCCATTTAGGGGTTGAAGCCTGGTGATTTTGCCAAGCACCAGCTCAATTTATATCGGGCCTCAGGCAATCAAAAAGGGGTTGCAGCGCAGTCTGTTACAGCACAGAGATTCCGAAAGGAATGATACACTACTGTTTGGAGGATCGCTTCGTAGGGCGGGTTTATGAGACTGAAACACCGCAGATCGGAAGCTGTCGAACCCTCAATCCTGAACCTGAAACGCCCTGAACTCTCCATGCTCTGCAATAAAAGAATCGCAAGAGTAACAATGACCACGAGAGTCCTGATGATCAACTTCCTAGTAAAATCCCCCAAAACCCACACTCACTGCCTGCAGCTCCTGTATACATGGTACCAGCACCCCGAAGCACCCTCAAGCCTCCGAAAACCCTAAACCCTAAAACCCTACTCCGCAAACCCTAAAACCTAAACCCTAAACCCTACTCCGCAAACCCTACAACCTAAACCCTACTCCGAAAACCCTAAACCCTAAGCCCTAAACCCTACTCCGAAAACCCTAAACCCTAAACCCTGCTCCGAAAAGCCCTAAAACCTAAACCCTAAACCCTACTCCGAAAACCCTATAACCTAAACCCTAAACCCTACTCCCCAAACCCTGCAGCACTTCTGGAATCAGAGGATCCCGGGGTTCCTCCAGGTCGTCTGCATCCCTCTCCAACGCCTGGGAGGCTGCTGGTGCTTTGAGGAAGAAGCCCAAAACTTTCGTGTTTAGGGGTTTAGGGTTTAGGGTTTGGGGGTTTAGGGGTCTAGGGGTTTAAGGGTTTAGGGGTTTAGGGTTTCGGATTACACCGGATGCAGCAGTTTCGAGTGTCGGAACGAGAGATTACAGACGTTCTTGCAGCTGCAGGGTGATCACGGGTCGATGGTTACTTGGAGTGTCACAAATAAGAGACGAAGAGGTGCACCCTAAACCGCCTAAACCTTAAACCCACCTGACTGCGAAGCAAGAAGGATATGCCGGTCCCTGCATGTCACAAACGCTGTTGCGATTTCGGCCTCCAGAAGCATCGCGCGGCCCCCGTCATCAATCAAGAGCTCGTAGGCCAAAGAAATGCGGCGAAAGCCTTAGAAGTCATAGGGAACTAGACATGTGGTCCTCCAGTGAATCCATCGAGGTTTAGTTCACTTACTTCAGCCTTTGAAGTGCTTTGGACAGACTCGGGCTAGGGTTTCGGCTTTGGCGAATTAGTTACTAACCCCCCCTCCCCCAGACACCGCAGGCCTTGATCCCTCAACTATGAAACCACAAACTGAATCCTACAGTGTGATCCCGGAACCCCCTTCAATCACTGCAAGCATCCAAAATAGCACATCGCTGAGCAGACAAGCGGGAACCATAAACTCTTGTCAAGGTCCGAACTCCATGCAAGTAAACCCGTTACCTGAAGAGATCAATATACCTTCCAAACAATGAAAATCTCATTCAAATCATCCTCAGATGCTGCGTGCACTTCACTTCTCTTGTATCCCTGAAACTATCATACCTTGGCTCCTCACGCTCCTCTGCGTCCTGAGCAATCAAATAGCTGCTGTTTTCACTACTGGTCCAGGTTTGAGATTATAACTAGGAGCCTTGGATAGTGAGACCGGGGCTTGGCACGTGTATTGATGGTAGTATACACGGAGTTGGACTGCAAGAAGATATTACTGACAATTCAAGCCTCTACATTGTCGTACGTTCAGAGTGCGGGGCTTGCGGTCAGGGTTGGGAGATCAGCGTTCAGCATTCTCGCTTCAGGGCTTCACTATGCGAAAACAAACTAAAGTACTTATGTAATATAAAATACCCGAATGATTATACCAGAAAATACTAGAATATCTACTCGAATATATCAAAAAGTGCTCGCACTTACTGTTACATTACATACTACCTTAGCCTACCAAACCCTACTTCTTTGTAGGTTCTTATTATGAACCCTAATATGGAGATTGTAGGGACCCTACAAAAAAGTAGGGCTTGGTAGGTTCAGGTATGGTGTCTTCAGGGCCTTGCATGTAATCGATTACTGGCCTGTGGGGGTTTGGGAATCGGAGCTGCTTCAGGAGGGGTGAGGGTTTAGGGGCACAAATGGGACTTTCCGAAAATGAGGGGGTACCTTGCTTCGGGGTCCTTATAATAAGGATCCTACTATTTAGGGTAGCACATTAATATTAGGGTCCCCTATTTTCGGAAACTTGAAACTCGCAAATAGGGGGCTAGCAATGGGGTCGCGAGTTATGCCAGATACTACGGTTTAGGGTTTAGGGTTTAGGGTTTAAGGTTTAGGGTTTAGGGTTTAGGGTTTAGGGTTTAGGGCTACTACTTGCACAGAGGCTGCAAAGCTAAGCCGGCTACAATCCTTCCAGGGCTTGGCCTTTGCGTATCACCTGGGGCTCTAAGTGCCTAAACCCTAAACCCCAAACCCTAATGTAGGGGCCTTAATAATTAGAATAGGGTTTTGGGGCCCACTATACTATAATCATAATAAGGAACCCCCACCATAATATTGGTAATTATTTAGGCCCCTATATTAAATCTTAAACCCTAAACTCCGAACCTCAAACCCTCAACCCAGGACCCTCAAAGAACGCCCTCACACCTCACACAGCATCGAGTGCCGACAGCAGGTCCGGTGATGCGCATGGCCATCGCTACGGCGCTGTACATCTGGCGGCCCCCTAATTGCGCAAAACCACCTCTAGACAACTACCAGACCCCCAACTTGAGAGCTACTAGTTTACTAGTATTTCTAGGGTTTAAGGTTTAGGGGGGAGGGTTGAGGGTTCGGGTTTAGGGTTTCGGGATTTGGGTTTACGGTCTAGGGTTTAGGAATTAGTGTTTAGGGTGGTTAGGTCCCCACTATCAGGGGCCATGAAGGCTGGATTGGAGGCTACTTGGGGGGTCCTGGCACACCATGAAACCTGTACAGGTCCGTACAAAAGAGATATCGCAGGGTAACCTACAGGTGCCCTCAGTCACGAACATAGGGGCCTCAGCAGCGTCGAGGGCTCCTGGTCCTTATCATAATCAAAGTCTAATATACTCCAAGACCACATTCAAATTCTGGAGGCCCCTTCACAGACCACACATACCGGTGGTAAAGGCTGGCCACCCTCGCCCATCGGGCGGAGAGAAGTGGCCCCGCATCACTGAAGCACGTTGACACTTCGTTTGGAGTTTAAGGCGTTAAGCGTTTCAGCATGCAGGATCTAGGGCTTAAGGATTTCGGGTTTAATCGCGCGCTAAACCCTGACCTATCAGTTCTCAACTCATTACCAGGCGAATATGATGGACCACCTTACCGACCATGCTATGCGGTTTAGGGTTGAGGGCAGAAGGTATGCGGTTGCATGCTGAACGAAGCTGAAATCGTCCAACTTGCACGACCAACTAATTAATTCATCCATTCGCAGAATCTGCTTGCCAGCCGGAAACTGCACTTCGGGCCCCCTCGAGCCACATGTGCAAGACGACGGATGGATGTTTCCAGAGCCGGCACCCGCAAGCAGCTATTCCTCAGAAGATTTGGGAGGTGCCAGTGAGCTCAAGCCGTCCGCAGTTCCAAACTTTCGCGGCACACAGGGCATGCAGCAGCAGACGATGAGCCGGAGAGGACCCAGCTTTCAATGCCTCACGAACCGGGTGTGGGGGAATCTTAAAACTTAAGATTCAAGTTCGCCGGTCGGGGATCCTTCCCTCTGGTAATAGTACAGATCCTACTATCCGGGTCTACACTAGGGTCTACGCTTTTCTGGGTCATAGGCCTTTTCTCCTTAGCCCTCTTACTATGATGTAGGCCCCGTAGGTTTAAGAGGGTTGCCATCAACATGTGTTCAGGCTGAGGGATCGCTGCACGCTGCTCCGATAAGTCAAGGGGCATCTTCTGTGAAAGGTATGCCCACACCTGAGGACTGCCACCGCACTGCAGGGTCGGAAATCCTCCAAGCAACAGACGCAGGTGCTGCTGCGCACCACCGGAACGGCCGGCAAAATGGAGACGGGGCTCCCTTCCGCGAGTTTGTAATTTCTGGAGGAGTAGACTGTGTGGAAGGCGGACACATCTGCACCCAACTGCCGGTATGTGCAGGATGCCCAAATCATGCATCGGATGCCCTGGCTGGCCTGGTTTGGCACGCTTTCTCTGGTCCTGGAAGATCTCCAGTCCGAGGAGTAGCTGCGAAGAGCTGGCAACCCATCTCCCTGGGACCAACTCCGATCCACACTCGAGCCGTCCCGATCTACGGTGGTTGGAGCGGTTGAACGGCAGGACTCGGCTAATGCATGCATCCTCAGCTTTGCAGAAACTAGGGAGGAAAATGTATCGACGTTTATTTCATAGTGGTCTCCTTTATGTAACAGGTCCCAAAATGTCTAGACTCTTCTTTCACAATGGTTCCCTTTAAGTAACAGGTCCCCCCAAAAAAAGTACTAAAGTATGGTGCCTAGCATCAGGGCGCCAAGCAGGATCAGCACGCCCCCGTAGAGCAGCAGCATGCCCAGCAGCTTACCGTGGTCTTGGTCAACTTGCCTGGGTTCATGCTTTGAGGCCGCTTAAAATTGGTGTTTTTTGTGTTAAGGGCCTCTTTTCGATCTGCAGAGTATTGGGTTTAGGGTTTAGGGTTTAGTGTTTTAGGGTTTAGGGTTTAAGGTTTTGAAGGTTTAGGATTACTTATGACTGGGAACCATAAGGAGCTTTTTTTAAAGTTTCCCAGTGCCACCTAGTTGCACTGCAAGGAAAGAGTCCCCGGCGTAAATCAGCACGGCCAAGGAACCCAAAAACAGCCAAGCCACGGTGAGCCTCGCAAAAAGGCGGGATGCAGGTAGCTGGGGTAATCCTAAATAAGAGTCCTTATCAAGGGATCCTTAATCCTAACTACTGTAAAGGCCTTAATAGTTCGAGTAATTAAGGCTTTGGGGTGTATTATGCTACACTACATTGTTGGTAATTCTTTAGCGCCGGTATTAAATCCTTATAGTAGCCGTTATAGGCCCCTTTAAAGGAACCCTACTCTAATAGTATTGGTAATTATTTAAGCCCTTATGTCAGCTTCATCCCACCTTTTTAGGTCTCCGAGCCTCTCGGACTGCCCGTTGCTGCAACTTCTCCGCCCTTGCAAAGCACGCACCATGCCGGGACGCGGACGGACCGAAACCTAGGCTTGCAGCCTGGAACCGCAAAGCTCTGGTGGCCCAAGACCCCTTGATTAAGCAATATACCTCAAATTATAAGGGGCTTCATATTATGACTTCAGCTGTATTCCTTAATTAAGGGTGGGAGATAGGTCCCCTAGGGCCTAAAGCCCCTCTATAGCTTAGGCACCTTAAGAAAATGGATAGGGTGTGGGGTTTTGGGGCCCATTATACGATAATTATCATAAGGAACACCAAAAAATAGTACAGGTACTTACTCCCGGCCCCTAAAAAATGCTATAGTTTCTTTAGCAGTCTCCCCGAAACCCTGTTCCAATTGTGAAGGGAGTCTAACATGATTTCGGATCTGGGCCCAGATAGGCCGAAATCCTTGAATCACCTGAACCCCTAAACCCTGAACCGTCTGGTGTCCTTCAGATATGCAGAAACCTCCGATCCCTCTGCCCGAATCTGCCCAAGCCGTATCACTGACCTGTGGCATTAGGTTTATGAATCTAGCGAACATTCTGCAATCATACAGCCCAGCTCGCATATTGAAGTTCTAGTATCCTTGCTACAGGAGTTACTGTTTTCGGATCCCAGAATGGCTGTACCTGGAGGTTCATGGGTGTCATAAGTGGGTAGTACTACTTATAGACCCTATTTGCAACTACCCTTGAACCTCCAAGTATGTGAGAAGACTACCTTCACCCCCAAAGCCTTTCAGAACCCATATGGGAGTTTCCGAAAAGAAGGGGTACCTTATTTTGGGGTCCTTAGAGTAAGGATCCTACCATTTAGAGTACTAAGTAAGGGGCCCCTACTTTCAGAAACCCCCATATCCCAATCCTCAACCCTAAACGCTGAAGCCTTGGATCCCTTTGAATACCCCGTGTAAAGCTTAAAGCCAGCATGTGTTTTTCGCCGATCGCCGTGAGATGAAGGTCTCGTGTTCCGCGCGGAGCCATCGCTTAGAAGCGCTGTACAGTACATGTCGGGTAATGTGGGAACCTGATTAAGAAACCCTGGTCCTATATCCCCCAAAATAGTAGGATTCATATAAGGAACCCTAGTAAAAACCCAAGGTTTCTTAATCAGGTTCCTATACTAGTTGTCAAAGTTATGGTCCCGTTTTGGGGTACCCTAAATATTAGGCGCCGTATTAGATGAAGAACTCAAAAAGGGACCATGATGTTGACAACCACCCATGTGGCGGCGCCATGCTGCGCAAAATCCCTAGGCAACCAGCAAGAGAACCCAGTACTGGACTCTCCGACTGCACCATCAAGGCTGTACAAGACCTTGCACGATCGTGTGGAATAACAGCACTGTAAATAAACCCATAAGCAAACTCAAAGCATCGCAGGGCAACCTGCAGGAGCCCTAAATCAGTAGACGAACCATGCATACCCCGCTAATACTGGACACGGAGAGAAGTGGCTTCGGATCAACCAAGTTGGTATACACTGCGTTCCAGCTTAGACCACCCTTCCCATCATGCCAACGGTATACTGTTTAGGGTTCCTCTGAAAATTGGCAGCCCCTCCTTCAAAGTTGCTGAACTTCTCGAAGTTCAGACTTGGGTCCGTAGCAATACGACTGTACAACTATCAGCAGCAAGCTGAACGCAGCTTACGTCGTTCGGCTTGCACGAGCAACTATTCCATCCAGTGGCAGCTTCTGCTTTCCTTTGTGAAACCTATGCAGCGGGATCACCTCTTCTGGCCCGAAGAGCCTTCCCGCGAGCCACATGCCCAAACCAGCATCGAATGGATGGTTTCCAAGCCACCACCAGCTATGCCTGAGAAGTGAAAGCACATGCTCTCTTATACGGAGATCAGCCCACAGCAAACAGGGAACCTAGAGGTCGTGTGCACACCTACCGAATTTCCGAAAATTAGGGTACCTTGTTTTAGGGGTCCCTTAAAATGAGGATCCTACTATTCAGTGTACTACATTAAGGTCCCCCATTTTTGGACACTCCCATATACATACAAACCCACCTACCTACAAACCCACCAACCTACCTACCTACCTACCTACCTACCGATCTACGTACATACATACATACATACACACACACGTACATACTCCCGACGTACATACATACAGACCCACACATGTGCACATTTGTGCTTATGTATCTAGATCTACACATTCTACATCTATACCTACATCTATATCTATGTGTTTTACTTGTTGCTCGGCTTGATGTCCATTTCTATGTGTATTTTAATGCACGTACATACAGCCTAATTCTTCTTCCTTTAGCATGACCCATCTGGGGGCCATACTTGATGGGAGGCCAAAAGGGGGGTTTAAGATTCCGGGAGTAGGGATTCCTTAATATGAACCCTACTATGGGAACCCTACTCCCTACCAAAGCCCCATAGGCTGAAACCCGTTTTGGCCTCCTATGAAACTCACACCGTCCGCAGCTCCAGGCTTTCGCGGCACACAGGGCATGCACCAGAAGCCGGCGAGCCGGATAGGGCCCAGCTTTCAATGCCTCACGAACCGGGTGTGGGGGAATCCTAAACCCTAAACCCTAAACCCTAAACCCTAAACACCTAAACCCTAAACCCTAAACCTTAAAGCTTAAGATTCAAGTTCGCCGGTCGGGGATCCTTCCCTCTGGTAATAGTACAGATCCTACTATTCAGGTCTTCAATGATTCACATGTGGGGCTTCTAATAACTGGGGTGCCGTGTTTGAGTTTTAAGTGGGGTCCCCTACTTCCAGAATGTCCCACACGCTCATCTGGAATGACTCGGTTTGAATGTAGGTCATACTGGAGGAGTACCCGGTGTCCTTGCAAAACTGCTACTATGCCGTGCAACCCTATGAGGGTTGTCATCACTACCTGTTGAGATTGACAAACCAACTCCGAGAAGTCAAGGGGCATCTTCTGTGAAAGGTATGCCCACACCTGGGCACTGCCATCGCACTGCAGGGTCGGAAATCCTCCAAGCAACAGACGCAGGTGCTGCAGTGCACCACCGGAACGGCCGGCAAAATGGAGACGGGGCTCCCTTTTCCGAGTTTGTGATTCCCAACGGGGTAGACTGTGTGGAAGGCGGACACATCTGCACCCAACTCCTATACTGAAGTTAGAACCCTAGCAAAAACTATTTAGCTGTTTCTCAGGGATGATAATAACCAAAAATGTAATAATTATTTCTAAGTACCCCTAAGACTCCTGGTATGTGCAGGATGCCCAGATCAAACATCGGGAGCCCTGGTTGGGATACTGACGGGAGCTGCGAAGAGCCGGCAGCACATCTCCCTGAGACCAACCCCAGTCGTCCGTGTTGTCCCGATCTACGGTGCTCTCAGTGGTTGAGCGACAGGACCATCCTGCGAATGCCTGAATCATGATCATGGCACCGATCAGCACAAACACACCCGAAGACAACAGAAGCATGGCCAGCGGCTTGCCATGGCTTCGCTCAACTTGCTCGGATGCCGAGAGGAAGGAGTCTCCGGCGTAAACGACCACAGCCAAAGAGCCCAAAACCAGCAGAGCCAGCGTGAGCTTCTCCGCATGCTCATGGCAGCTCATCTGTCGTTGAGACGCGCGTGCCATGTCGGGAAATCGGAAGGGCAAAATCGACCGATGACCCTGCAATCGCTCCTGCGAAGCTTGATCTGAAGCCTCGAGCCGCCAAATTGCTGTGGGAGCCAGGTCCTCTTCATACGGCTGATGGACAAAATCCTGCATTACCCATTATAAGGAATATACCGTAGTTCCCATAGTTTAGAGTCCTTAGGGTCATGCAGGATTGTGTCCATCAACAGTATCCTCTTCTAGCCCCTCTATAGTTATCATACAGGTTCATACAGATTCGGCGCCGAAACCCTGCTTGCTAAGGTCCGTCCCGGAACCATTAAATCGGGCCTTCGTCGAAAGAGGTCGCCTTCAAGTTCAAGGAGGCTAGCAGGGGTTTTGCTTTGGAACAGCAGGCCCGCATGGCCTTAGTCGTTAGAGCAGGGTTCTCCTGCTCCAGTTTTTGGAGGGTCATGGGAAGTCATAAGTAGGGTTTAGAAAAGAGGTTCAGGGCATGACACTTGTGATCAACCCAGAAATCGCTAAGTGGGGTTTATCAGCCCCCTAATATCGACTATAACTATCGTAATCCACTTATAAACCCTACCTAAAACTGTCCATGAACCTCCAAGTACACTGGCATCCAGCATGCCTGCTTGGAGGCCTAGTGATTGTTCCAGGAGCTGGAACGACTCCTCCAACACCTCTGCACCCCGAAAGCCTGCGAATAGTGGGACTCAATCCTGACTCACCAAACTCTGCACTCAAATCCCATTCCTGCCACAATTCCAGTTCACAGCCCGTCCTCCCGCTCGGAGACATCAGGATGCTCCACCCTGGCTGCAGGTTTTAGGGCTGAGAGCTTTTAGGTAAGGTGCGGGCGTTGTGTTCGTCCCGCTATCTTTGTCTGCATGGCGTTCATTCGCCTATCAATGAAGCTGCTGGTGCGAAATACACTCTGCTGCGAATGGTGCTCCTCTTCCCGGTAGTGCAGCTGGCAACCGTTGCCCTGCCTATTCTGTGAACCCAAAACCCTACAGTCACCACATTGAATGTGCAAGATCGGACATTCATGGCACTGTCTTCTGCAAATATCACCCTCAAGCTTGCTATGGTCAGAGTTACTTCCATCACCGTGGATGCTGTTCACGGCCACGCAACCTGAAACTAATTGCCCGTTGACGCTGACGGGGTTCCGGAATGATGATGCAGAGGAGCAGGCGGACGCTGACGGGGAGGATGGTGACGATGACAATGAAGATGACGGTGACGGTGATGCCGATGCGGATGCTGGTGGCGATGAGGATGATGATGAGGAGGAGGATTATGTCGAAGGTCACGATGATGGTTGTCAGGATGAAGACAGCCAATATGGTTAAGATAGTTGTAGTGGTGATGATGCTGGCAATGACATCGCTAGGGGTTGGCTGCAGCCTCTCCCAAAAGCGAAGGTTCCAGAAGGGTTTCGAGACCCGCAAGTAAAGCTGCCCTAGATCTGCAGACGTGGCAAGCAACAAACGGAGAGGGTTTAGGGTTTTTTTTTAGGTTTTATGGTGTAGGCTTTAGGGTGTTTTAGGTGGGATCTTTCCCACAGCCACACCAGGGCAGCTCGAGGCTGTGGCTTGGACTTCTGTGGTTCAAAGCAAAACCTTCCACGTTTTGTGGGTAACCTCAAACTCTAAACATGTTAAACCCGAAACCCTGCACTCTGCACCCTTATGTCCTAGAACAGGGTATCAAACCCTAAACCCTAAACCCTAAACCCTAAACCCCTAAACCCTAAACCCTAAACCCTAAATCCTAAACCCTAAACCCTAAACCCTAAACCCTTAAACTGTGTAGTACAATGTCGTGGAAACCCTGACACCCAAAAGAACCCTTCAAGTGAACCTCTCAAGGAACCCTTCAAGCAACTCCTATACTAAAGGAACCCTTAAAGGCACCCTTGAAAGCCGTCCCTTCAAGGGATTCCTGAAAGAAACCCTTACGTGAAATACTCAAGGGTCTAGCCTTCAAACCCTCTCCGGGCCTTGCAATGTTGCGAAAAGCAGCCCGGATCTCCTTCCTTGGTGACTGCGGGTGGATGTCTCGGGCGTTTTCCGGCTACGGGTTTAGGGCTTAGGGGTTTAGGGTTAAGGGTTTAGGGGTTTAGGGTTTAGGGTATGGCGTCTGGCGTACGGCTTGTGGGGTTCAGGGTTTGGTACATTTGGGGTCCTGATAGCTTTTTCGCACGATTTCGCGCTGACCCAAAACCCTGAACCGAACCCTAAGCTCCAGCCCCTACCGCTAAACCCTGAACCCTAAAGACTAAACCTGGACCTTAAACCCTAAACCCTAAAACCCTGAACTTGAACCCCTAAACCTCAACACCTTGGCTCTTCCTGCCAGGGTATGGATGCATGCGAACAGCTTGGGTTTCAAGCTCACCGTAGCCCCTTAATAAGAGTACATTCTTGCCTACTGTTTGGTTTACTATGGAACCCAAAAACAAAACCTGCAAAAGGGTACTACAAGAAAACCTAGAAAACCAATTTAGGGCTTTGGGTTTGAGCGGCTGGAGGTTTAAGATTTACACAGTAGCCCTAAACGATAAACCCTAAACCCTAAACCCCTAAACCCTAAACTCCCAAGTCCCTAATTTAGAGCGCAGTTTTCAGGGCATCCTTCTTGAACCCTAAACTCCAATCCTGGCAACCCGAAAGCCTAAACCCCAAACTCTTACTTGCTGAGTTCATAAGCCCCCAAAAGTGTACACTTTTAGTTTTATAGTGGGTAGTATTCTCCCAAAAAGTGTAAAGTGTATCCAAACAGCTACTGAGAACTTACTGACCCCACTTACGGAATCAGGGTGCCTGGTAACTAAAGTATTACCCGCGGTCGCCACGATTATCATCACTGCTTACATGCAGTTTAGGTAAATCAGGACCTTTCCGACCGCTTGCCCTGATCGTTGAAGTACAAGCTGAAAGGGGCCTCCATAAGAGAGGCTTGAACAATCGGAGTAGGGTTGGGTATAGTATACTGTACTCGTAATAAGGCCTATAGATCCCTTCAAGTAGCCCTTTATCGGAACCCTTCATACTCTCATGTAGGAACCTGATTAAGAAACCCTGTGCCCATAACCCCAAAATAACAGGATCCATGTTACGAACCCTAACAAAGGCCCAAGGTTTCTGAATCAGGTTCCTACATTACGTTTCAGGGCAGGCCCTCTACGATCCCTCTTAACCCTAAACCCCTAAACGATCAGCTCCCAAACCATGGCGCCCCCGGACCTCGGGGAAGTCGTCGAATGTAGGTTCCCCTAAACCCTAAACCCTAAACCCCTAAACCCTGAACCTCTAAACCCTAAACCCTAAACCCCTAAACCCTAAACCCCTAAACACCCTAAACCCTACATTAGGACCTGCGATGTTTCTAAAATAGAACGAGGATCTTGGTGCACTCGGGGTCATCGATGCCAAGGAGATCAAACGGCTCCTGGGGGCAACTTGGAGGCTCAGGGGACTTAGTAGGTAGGGCTATACGAGGTAACTTATCTTGAAGTACTTTAGAAGTAAGGTAACCATACTTCGAGGTACTTAGAAGTAAAGTATGCTCTAGGTACTCAAAGGATCAGGGGACGAAGTAAGGAAGGATACAGGGTTCTAGAAGGGTGCCCTTAGGGCTCTGGAAGGAGCTCTTTGAGGCGCCTAGGCCGTACTTAGAGAGGATCCGGGGGCTGAGTGAGTAAGAGTTGGGTGGTTGTCAAAATTAGGGTCCCTTTTTGGGTACCCTAAATAATAGGTGTCGCATTATAAAGAGGACCCAAAAGGGACCCTAATTTTGACAACTACCCATAACCGTACCGTACTTGGGGTTGGAAGTACTTATGGACATAGTTGTCTGACGCAACAGCCCCCGTTGCCTCGTTCCCTGATCCGATAAACGGTTTTAAGACGGTTTCTGTAAATGTCCCCTTAAGAGCTGCTTATAAGGGCTAGTCAAGTGTACGAGCTTCTAGCTTGAGAGGTTTCGGATTTAAGAGCTTCAAGGTCTTCAAAACCTCTTCAGGGCTCAAGGTTCGATCTATATAGGACTTTAATTCCCAACTCCCCAGCATCAATGACACAACAACCACAGCCTTCAAGCTCGGGAAATCCTAAGCCGAACCTGAGCTTTAAACCGCTAACCCCAGAGCACCTTTTAAGATAATGTAGGGGCCTGAATATATAATTAGAATAGGGTTTTGGGGCCCATTATACTACAAATTTTAATTAGGAACCCCCACAATAGTATAGGTAAATACTTAGGCTTCTACATTAGGGCCTGAGAGAGAGCGGAGTCTTCACTTGGGGATCTAGAGTGTTTGGGGTTTACGAGAGTTTAGGGTGAAGGATCTTGGGGTATCAGGCTTCGCGGGGGTGCTGGATGGTCGGTAGGATCAGGTTCCGAGTACCCGAGACTCTGAATCCCAAAATCAACCCCAAACTGAAATATCATCAGTTTCATGCCATTACAATGCTTTGTGGTTACGCTACTATAGAGGAAAAAGTATTTGTGATGTAATTGCATAACCATGTGTTCACCATATAGTATATCTTTACAGTACTACATGGTTGCGTTGCCACATGACAAATACTTCTATCAACGCGCGCCTAGGGGAACCCGCCAGTCTACCGCCCACCCCCGCCAACGCCCGTCGGGACCTGGAACTCGCCATCGAACTCCTCGCAGTCGTTTACGATACTATACCATAAAGGGAACTGCAGAAAGTTGGAATATGGTTTCAGGGTAGGATACCCTATATTTTACCATAAAGGGTTTAGGATAATCATATTCCAACTTTCTGGCTTTTACTATACTATATTGTACTATACATAACCTCAGGTTTCTCATGGTTTCTCACTGACTGCCCGCTTCTTGGGGATGTTGGGTGCAGGGATCAAGGGTTGAAGGCTCCGGGCTTCAGGGTCGAGGGCTGTAACGTTTCGGACTTGGGGTGCAGGGCCTCGGGGTACGGAATTTTAGGGCTTAGGGCTTTAGAGTTTAGAGTTTCA